TATAATATAATGTCCGTCATTGTCAAAACTTGTACTAATAGATAAACCTACCATGGTGCAAATAATTCCTCCAATAAGTTTGGAAAATGTAAAATATGTTTGGGTAGTTAAATATTTTTAATTGAGTCTCACTCACTCGATTTGTAGTCAACATTATTAAAATTAAACAAAGATAAACCCGCACCATACTTCTATAACCCCACTAAAACAGGTCCACAGGGCAGTCTTTCCACAAATGTTCTTTATCAAGAATTCTTAAGCCGTGTTCACACTTCACATCAGCTAAAGCTCGAGAGATGGTCTCCATGACGCCATCCTCATCAGAAAGTTTGCTAGTAAATTCTACAGCTTTGTTGCATGACAATCAGTAACTTTGCAGGAAACCATAGCTGCAAATACGCGAGAAGTCTGTAGCGTTTCAAAGAAAATGATGAACTTTGTTGCTTGAGAAAGTTCATTCAAATGAGATTTAATTAACATTTTAAATATGTATACCGTATCATACATTCTGTACTGGAAAGACGAGATAACTCTTCCTTGGCGCTTTAAAGCAGTAAACCATTTTAACATGACAACCATATATAGAGTTCAATATATAAAGTTCGCCATTCAAAACATTAAAACTTGAAATGAAAAACAGAGTTTAACGATAGCAAGCACCATGCAAGATGCAACACATGGTATCACCAGATAAAACATAATAATAGCTAGCTTAATCCTATTGACAATTTTTCCTTATCTGTCCATTATATAGATCCCTGCCTTTGCTCGTTCTGCCGGTTCAATATTGTCCTGCAAAATAGATAGCATAAAAAGAAATGGTATAGCAGAATTTCCCTTTTAACTTTAGCATGGAAAAGCAAAATGAACAATGTGAGGATTAAGGAACTAAACCAACCGAAGCAATTGAGCAAGCCGGGTGGCCTTCAGAAAATCGCCTTCTTCACGGGCCTTAAGGATTTTGAACATGAGACACATATTAAGCTTGCTCACAGCACTCTGCCTAATCATGAGGTCCGTATCCTTCCTGAGTTGCACACATTCAGCCTCAATGGATTCCAGTTTTTCTCTGACTTGTTTTTGTCCTTCCTTGATATTTTGTTGATCCTTACTGATCTCTTGCATCTCTGCTTTCAACCTTCGGAAGCCAGCCTTCAGATTTCTCATTACAGCCTTTCTCTGCCCAGACAATTGAACACAAAACAGTTAAAAAGTTCCATTAAAGTTGTTTGTGGGAGAATACGTTGACATACCTTGCAAAAATAACAGTAATAACATCATAAAGTATAATAAAGATATTTAATGTATAATACATACATTGCCACCCATATCTAGTAGTGACTCAAATCTAAACATTTATTTTAGAAAAGAAGATCACTATTAGATTACTTGTTCATTGACCATAACAATAGTCAATATAAAACAACAAACATCAACCAAGCTCTCTTGAGACGAGCTTCTCTCTCTACGATTGAGTGGATTTACCCCACCATGGGGCAGCCACTACATTTCGTCTCTGCCTTGCCTCTCACTCCCTCTCCTTTGTTTAAACCTTTAACCTCAAATAGTTTCCCATCCTTGTACCATAAATCCCCAAATCCAAACCCAAACAATCGTCCACGTCAACTTCTCAAAAAGCATGCAGGGCATCTAAAATTTGAGTGGAGATATCTGATCTTTGGGTGAAAATTTGCTGAGCCGCTCATGATGGGCAGAAGATCAAGCTTGCAATCCATCTTAATCAAATAAACAAGCTAAGCACAAGGATTGATATAATTCTTCTTCCTCCTTTTTTTATTTTTTTCGCCAGTAACATATTCATTTCATGTAAAGAAACTTGATTTCAAGTTCAAGATATCATACTAAAAGATTTTATTACCCCAGTTCAAGCTCCAACTTGAATTCAAATATCTTGTTTAACAAGTAAAACTCAAGTAAAGAAAACAGACTCAAATGAAGCTGCAATTCCAAGCTAGCTAAAAATTCTAAAGTTCAAGCTCAATTGTTGAACCCAATTTTCCAATTACTAACCTATTGCTCCAAAAATTTTGAAATAAATTAAATTAATTCAGTTCACAAATAGTTAAGAAGTATGCATTCAATACAGCAACAAAAACCTATTTGGCTAAAAAGAATGCATATACTGAAACTTCAATTCCCAAATAATTCAACAAATTAGCAACTAATTTCATTAAAAAAAATAAATCCATTCATAATCCGATTCAGTGATCAAACATCTAATCCTT